TCCAATCGTCCTGACCGAGTCCGGAATTGTCAAGCTGGTCAAAGAGCGGCAGAAACCAAAGGCAAAATGTCCAATCGTCCTGACCGAGTCCGGAATTGTCAGGCTGGTCAAAGACCTGCACATAAAAAAGGCTTCTCGTTGAATCTCGGTCACAAAGTTCGGAATTATCAAACTTCTCAATGATATGCAGTTTTTAAAGGCCATTTGCCCAATTTTGGTCGCAGTGTCCGGAATTGTCAAGCTGGTCAAAGAGCTGCAGCCAAAACAGGCTGCACTCACAATCTCTGTTACAGAGTCCAAAATGGTCAAACTGATCAAAGAGCTACAGTTTCGAAATGCCGCAGGTCCAATCTTGGTCACAGTGTCAGGAATTGTCAGACTGCATAAAGAGGTACAGCTTCGAAAAGCTCCGGCTCCAATCTTGGTTACTGACTTGGAAAAGATCACCCCACCAACAAGCGAGCAATTTTTGAACGCATGTTGCGGAATTTCCGTCGCACCATTCGGAATATAGACCAAGAACAAGTCTGCATCACCTCTCAAGGGACAGCCAGCATCGTGTTCTCCTGAACACTCGACTGAGCGGACCTTGGCAGTGGGGACTGGAGAAACACAGAAAGACTCTCTGGAACGATTATACTATAACTTATAGTAAAGAAACACTGGCAGAATTTAGAAAGCCTCACAGTAAAGCTGGCCCACAACCAGCTTCCCACAAAAAGAATCCCCTGATGTTCAAGCACGCCTACTATCAGGATGATGTCCCAAAGCGATGCAACAAATAACATTGACGTGGTGTATTAAAAGCAACAAAAACAGCAACATGCAAATGCATGATGAACAAGTCATCATGCCTGTCAAGCAAGCTTGCAACACCACATCTGAAGAAAGCCCCGCTTGCATGACGGTCTCACCATTGTCGGTCAGCTTACTTTCACCCATCATCACTTGCACCGAGGTGAACTTGTCCGCGTTGAATGGGAACTGGGAGCCGAGGTCTGTGAGCTCATCCATCAATTTTCCCTTGAGCTCGCCAATGGTCGTGTCGGGTGAAGCTTCAACGATCACGACTTCCCCACCTGAAACATGATTAAAAAGTCCTTCTCAGCAACAAGAGCATGAGGTGAAGGCATACTATAGGATCATATTCCAAAGTGTACACAGCAGAGCTAACAACTAAACTGGAAGGCTCAGAGAAGGCCAAGGAAATAGGTGTATTATCAATAAAAGGCTCAAGAGCAAGCAATTTGAGAGTAGATGGCCCCAAGTTTGGTCTGGTGGTTTATAGGGACCCCATACAAAAGTCAATGGTTTGTGCCATCGAGCCTCTGAAACTATATTCAATTGTTATATTCAATATGTTAAAGGCATGGCGAGTCGCTCATCTTCTGCACTGGGATTCTCATCATCATAGCTGAGGAATACTCGCTCTGCCATACTTGGATTGCAGAATGACTGCAGCAAAAACAAATGCTCTCTGCAGAAGACTGAACTACCGAGAGTTGCTTCTGGAACTGCCCTATGTGGGTGTAGGGTATTGGACACCCATCCAATGGTCCCTGCAATCAAATTCCGACCCGAAAAACCCCTGTCGCAGCACCAAACCATCTGCGAACCTGGGTGATCACAATTCAATTGGCCTTCAGGAAATCCTGTTCCCACTCCCCACAGATCAGAAGCACTTGGTGGTGCCACCAAGTATAAATGATATAAATTTGGGTGCGAAATCCGGTATTGTTTTACATTCTTTTAGCATGCCGGACCTGCATGGGTGCCTTCGAACTTCTGCTGGTCTTCTTTCCTCCAAAAAAAACAGATGAATCGGATACCCACGAAACCCATCGGAGACGGGACGTCGACGTCTGTTTCAAGTTCGGAGTGTCGATTTGGCTTCGTCAAAGCCGGGGTTGACATGGGTTGACCATGGTTGACCCATCGACCAGGTTTCCAACATCAACTACGGGAAGTCAATCTAACAGGGTTTGGGGCTCCAAGTTTTGACCAACACCCATTGTCTGAGGAAACGTCAATCCATCCAGCAGTCCGGAACACGACTTGATTGAATAGTTTACACTTTGAGTGCCTTTGGGTGATCTATTCTCATGTTATTGTATATCATGTTATATCCATGGTACTATCCATGGTCCCATGTTGGTGGTCTCCCATGAAGGGGGTGGAACATCCACCAATTCGAAAGAAAGAATCACAAAGATCCACTCTGGTCTCCACTCTGACCCTTCTTTCGGACCGCTCCTCATACCCGATCCATCGAGCTAAGGCTTAAGGGAGCTTCCAAGACTCCGTATACGTAAGCCTAGCCTTACAGATCCTTACAGTATATCAGCGTTTCGGGGATGATTCTGGACATTGATTTTACACGTCAGCAAACAATACACATCACCAAAATCACCCGCTGTGGGACAGGAATGTCCCAAGCAAGGTCTCCGGACCTCTTGCAGTGAGTTGTAGTGGTCAGCATCCAAACAAAGAACAAGGTCTGCACTTCTGAAACCATTGCTCTCGCCGGAAGTTTCGCAAAACCGCCACCGGTTCCAGGTTCGGCCATTCCCGGACGATGGCCCCCGACACCTGCAGCATCTCATAGGCCAGCCATGCGCCAAAGGAATGTCCAAAGAGCACAAAGGGCAGGTCGACGAAGGTCTCGCGGCCTCGAAGAAGCTGCGGACACCGTGTAACCACACGGGACTGTCGAAGAAGCAAGCCACCAAAAAGGAACTAGTAACTAGGAAAAGCTGATCCTGGATTCAAGGGATCTAACGTAACGAGGTGATGACCGGGGTGTCCCAAGAACCACCGGGCGAACGGTGTCCTGGCCGCTCAGACCCGAGATTCACCCGATAGGGAGCCAACCACTACGCCAGGAAAAAAGCAAAGCTACCCTGATCACCACTGGGTCTACGACATAGGTGAGAATCTTTTAGAAGGGTCTATGGATTCAAGGTCCATCGGCTCGTCCGTCGATGGCTGCCAACGTGGATGGGATGGCACATGATGGCACAGCCCCGATTTCGACGCGCCTGTCATAGACCATGAATTCAGGACCCAAGACCCAAGAGGTGGTGAACTTCCACGTCACCACGGTTTGCTTTCCGAGTGAACTCCTCTTCCATCTGGGCTCTGAAAACGAAAACCATATGCCAGGAGGTGACATGGGGCGCCCCTGCATTTTTTCCCCTCCACCTTTGGTTCCGGCACCACGCAATGGAACTGGCGCACTAGGGGACTCCTGGTGAAGCAGGAACTCTCTCGTGCGTCCACCCGCTCGTGCGTCGACCCCGCCGATGCCATCCAGCACATCACGCGCCAGTTGCGGCAGCGACTTGGCCTGAGCAAGTGGGCTGAAGAACTGCAGAAGATCCGGCCTGGTCATCTAGCTATAGAGTCAAGCATCTGCTCCATAGAACCCCTAAGAGCTGGCCGTGGCATGCCCACTGCTCTGCAATCACTTCCACTCGGTTTTGATCTATGCCAGACCATCCGTGGGACTGGCCTTGTTTACCTACCTTGGGGGTCTGACCGGGGTGGCTCAGCGGGCGAGAAGGCGGCATCTACAGATGGTCTGGGCACGGAGATGCTGACTCCTCGTAAGGTCCAACCAGTCAACCGGGGCCTCAAACGGGTCTCAACACCGCCGGATGAAACCACTCCTGCTCCGACCGGGAGGCCCTGGTCTTATTTGAGAGCAGTGCTCATCATTCCCACAGATTTGCGAGAATGCTCGAGAATGCTCGAGAGTGGGATTAGAACTAACATGGTTGCTGGGCAAAACCAAGTAAAGGGTACCCAGTTTGCATTTGTTTTCACAAAGCACTCATTCTGCTCATGGTTGTGTGAACTGCAGGAGAAACAGGCTCTGAATCAGCTGAGCAGTCCCTGTAGGTCAAGGCTCGCAAAATGCTACCTTGAGATGTATGTCATGTTCACAGTATATTTCTTATATTATATAAGAAGACAGCAAGTACAGTACTGAATGCATGGTCTCATGGTCCCCTTTATCCGTTACTTTATCCATAAATAAACATACATAAACCAACAACTAACGAGCCCCACCCACCCGGACCCCGCTCTGTTCGTTTCCACGCCCCACCGTCATCGCTTCGGACAGGCGGAAGCCCCGGCCCGGCAACTCCACAGACAAGAGCTCCACGGAGCGCGGCAAGTGCTTCACCTCGAGCGGGGCGTCTCCAGACACCACGTGGTGGAAGAAGCGGAACCCTGAGTGCCATAGCCAAGGGAGCCTTGTCAAGCTTGTTGCTACTAGCGATGGCCTCCAACCTAAAGCGATGGCCCCCAACGGCCTCCAACCTAATAGCGATGGCCTCCACCTAGTAGCGTCCTTGCTACTGCTTTAGGTTTCTCCAAATGCCTTAGCAAAGGGTCAGCACTCAGGGATTGAATCTGAAGGTCTGGAGATAGAAAAGTGAGAGGTTCCATCTATTCTGAGACATGACTTGGAACCAAACTAGTCTGCTTCTCTCTCTCTCTATATATATATGTACTAAAATCATTCAACACACACACACACACTAGCTTGAGAATATCTACAAACAAATAGACTTATATAGATCGACATATAATGAACATGTCAGTTTGGAGAAAAGGCAGCCATCTGTGACACGTCCGCAATTTGGATGGCTATTGAGGACACCACCACACTCCCCGACTAAGCACAAAAATCTCTCGGGCTCAGGCCCCGTTCAAAAACGAACTATATGGAGGCACATGTCTGACGCGGCATTTCCCGTCTACCTCAAGCAATATCAAATAAGCCGGGAAATGTCATGTCTCCTGTCATCCTCTTGACCCATGGATTGATAACTATAGGGTGTGTGACCCATCTGCTTGAGAACTGTGCCCAAATGCCAGCTTGACCATCCACTTGGTGCGGACCATCTTGTGGACCAGAGCAAGTTCCAGGCTTCTTTCAAGGGGGATTCAATTTTTTGAAGTGAACCAATCTGCGCCAGCTCCACAACTCCTTTCCCAGGCTCAGCCACCCAGGGGTGGAAGGCAGCGCCACCCATGCCCACCGGCGGCACGCAGAAGAGCCGCAGGGCCACGCCGGAGGTGAGCGCACCGGGAGCCTCTGCAAGCCAGGGGCCATAGCGGCCTCGGGAGCTGAGCCGCTCCGTCGTCGCGACACGTCGTCGCGGACCCTGATAGGTACAGAAACCGCCTCTAACCCCAAACGAGCCCAAGGACCTTGAGAATTCACCCGTGGGAGCTCGACCATGTTCCGAATACCAACCCAGTTGTTTTGGGGGGTCCATGCTGGGGGCATGTGGTCCGAATAGCAGGAGGGTAGCCCTCACTGACTCACTCTGGACCAACGAGACAGTGAAGAGGTCGAGCCCACACTACTCGGAAAACACCCGAGAAACGCGTAGAAACCTGGTGTGGTGAAGTGGAGAGGGCAACATGGCGCACTGTGGGTTGTGTCAGTTTATATAAGGGGGTCACAACAATACATGTGTTTCTTCCACTGCATGTTGAACATGTACGTGCCTTGTCAACGATGGTCATGCAAGTTCAAAAGACTTGAGTTTTATCCGCCCCACGGTGCCAACATTGTTCTTCTCATCCCTTTCACAATATGTGCAGCGGAGCTTCCATTATGATTCATGGCGCAGGTCGGTCAGGGCGCCCGGCCGGGCAAGGCTGTTCGTAGAAGCCACTGCTGTCACTGATCACCAGGCCTTTTAGACTAGTTCCAGTTGGACCCCTGATGCCAAATCTACTTCAAGGTCAAGTCTTTTGATTCGTCGACCGCACCAAACAATAGCACGCCTGTTGTTACTCCCAAAATGCCAGGCCAAACAAATGCAACTTCAATGTTACAAGAAGGTGAGGCTCTGGTTTCCAACAACTACATCACCCTGCAATACAACCAAATCATTTTACCTGAATAAGGCTCCAATGGAGGCCCCAATAGGTCTTGAGATTGACGGGCTACAGTGTTCACCTTTGTTCCTAGATGTCGTAGAAACTTGTCCTATGGACTGCCTGCGCTTGACGAAGGATAGTGAAGGCACTGGAGCAAGTAAGTCTATCAATGCATGTGATCCAGGCAATGTGTTCGGCCGTGCAGCCTCATGAAGGTTTGATTGAAGTGGCTTTTGTGCCACACATCTCAATGGTTTCTCTCCCCAAGCGCCCCCCCCCCAACTGGATGCCATCAGATCCTAGCTAGCCTACTGGAAGATTCCATGGATCAAAGTTGTGATGGGTGGCCCAATGCGCTGAATTATACTCTGCTGAACAGATCGTGCAAAGAAAGGCTCCTGAACATGGGAACTCAACATGTGAACTCCGAACAACATACGGCCCAACACCGCAGTTTGAAGCTGCCCAACCTGTGCCCCAATTCCCCCGTCCGCCGTTGAACAATGGCACCTGACGCACCCTCTTTTCCTCGGGAGCCGATGCTGGACAGGCCATTGTCTCCCGGTTCTTCACCCCCGCATCCACCGAGAATCCATGAAAACCGCCCCGGACTGCGTCAGTGGATGGTCGGTTCAGTCCAATTTCGCCACAAGTTGCAGTCCTTTTTCGGCCACATAGAGATGGAGTCTGTACTCACCCAGGTCTTTGGTCTCGTATCCGGAAGCGGACCAGGTCGTCGAGTCGTCCAGCTTCTTCGTCCGGTCGTCCCACGAGTTGGACCTGTTTGACTCCCAAACCACAGGATCAAGTGAGGTCACTTTGAAGAACCAGGGTGGCTGTTACATAATCATTGCAGGAAATTCCTTCCCATGGCAATTTGCGACTTGGACAACACCTACTCTATCAGGGCAGCACATCCTGAGTGACGGTTATCAAGAAATTCAGGACCAAACCCAGGAATTTGGGCCAACTCAAGCCAACCTTTTGCCACCAAGGTTTTTTGGCCATGAACAAAGCACGATCGGCCTGAAGTGAACGGTTTTGGTATGTTGTGGTTGCTTTAGATAATTAAGCTTAGCATAGCTTAAACATGCCTAAACCAACCAAACCAGTAGGAAAAATGAAGACGATGAGACGAAGTGAGACGCCATCGAACCAACCAAGTACATAACTTCTCAAGTTGCCCACCTGACAACGCTCAAAGGACTAGGTTTTCTATCTAAGGAACACATTGCGACCATGCAACTTGGATCGACCCGAGCTTTCCAATGTGTTCAACAAGAGAGCCATAGAGAACCTATCCATACTTCATGTCACTTTTTGCAGTTTCAGGTCCCCAACAAGTCCATCGGACATGCCAGTGATTGGCCAGACTCCATGTGGCCGAAGGCTTCGATCTCCGACGAAGCGAGGAAGCGAGGCCGCGAGGCGGTGGAACCGCAGAGTCACGACATGTTTTACAGGCATGGAGACACAAAGCTTGCGAACACCGCAGAAGGGGAAAACTGAACTACTTCGAACTGGATGGTATGGGGTTGAAATACTAAATACAATATATATATATATATATTATATATATGCGAACGGATGAAAAGCGTGCCCCTGGCCCCGTTCTAGCCCTTAGTTTGACATGAAGCTCGCGCGCTAAAGCTCCTTTTTACCTGGTTGGGCACTTGAGCCAAAATGTATATGGCATGTACCTGTATAGCGACTATACTGAGACCTCATCCCTATTGACACCCCCCACATCCGTGCTTCGACGGGGAAGGGAGATGAGTGGATGTAAAAACCGGAGAACGAATCATGTTCTCAAAAGTGCATTGGAGGTCAACCAGTATGTCCTATTGATCTGAATTAGCAAACGATCTTGCATTCGCTTGAAAGTTGGATCAAACAGGTAACGGAGCTACAAACGGAAAACGTGCATCTACCTATGGTATCCTGCGATTACCGACGGTGTGAAACACAGTCCTATTTCACTCCCATGATGCCAAAATGGTCATCATGAATTACCCAAGATCCCTCAGTACTTGAAGTACCGGAAGTAGTATGTCGGTATGACCCCGATGCTCAACCGTTCGTGAGTTGTCGCATGTAGTCAGCTCCGACAAAGCCAATGTAGTCCTTGATGAGCTCAACGTTCCTTGGGTTTCCCCTCCGGATCTGCTCCTCGAAGGACTTCAACTTCTGCGTTTGAGTATCGGATACCTCTATGCCGTAGTAGCGGCATGCGACGAGGATCTCCTTTGTGACATTCTTCCGCTCCGACTTGATGGCGGGGCTAATGTCGATGAATTTGTATGGAGCGGCACCTTCATCGTCTGGTTTCTGGTAGTAACTATATCGGCTCGCTCCGAAAGTCTTCCTAATCAAGCGCCTGATGAAATTTGAGATGAATGCCAGTTTCTCGATGATCTCTTCCTGGGTCTCAGATCTTTGAGCCTTCGGATCACTCATGTTACGCCGAGTGCTTCCGACCTCTTTGAGATACTTGTGGCTAAGCCCGCAGCGGATTGCAGTGATCATCATCGGGTGAATAACGTGGGCATGGAACTCATAGATCTGCCACGCTTCTGTTGCATACGTGTCGTTGGTCCATTTGCTCATGCCTACGACTTCGGCTCTCTGAAGGCGTCTTGGAAACCCAGTATCCGGATCATTCGGTACTAATGGCCATCTATTGAATGGAGTATCATGCCGCTGTCCATCGTCGAACTTTCGCAGTACGTCTTCACGACTCTCAAAGCAATTGATGTCGAACGTTGCGTTGGCCAAGCTCTTGATCAACTTCATCAACCTCAGATCAAATTGCTGCGTGACTGCAAAGTTGTGGTCGATGGGGATCGCAGCTTCTTGCGGCAATTCGTCAATTGCGAAGGGGAAAGGCTGTGGAAGTTCATTCCCGTATCCATCTTGAGGGACCTCCCGATATTCGGGTTCGCCTTCGGCTTCGTCCGGTCGTTCCTTCAAGATGATAGGAACTTCCTCGTCTTCCTCACCTTCGGACTCCTCGACGTCAATGACTTCTTCGGCTGTCTTACGTGCATTCTTGATGACTTCATCGATGTTTGCACCTGCAGAAGAAGTTGCTTCACCGGAAGAACTGGCTGGCACGTCTCTCGGAGGTGATCGTTGATTGCGGTCCCTTGTCTCCTTGGGTACCACATGCGTGAGCTTCCCATTCGCGATCAAAACCGCTACGCAGTGCGGACATATCGTCAGTCGCACATCGACTTCGCCAAGACAGTTGGGACACGGTCTTGAGTCATAGTCTTTCATTGCTCGGCGGTACACGATCTCCTCGAAGATTTCCTGCCATTCGGTGCTATCGTACTCTGGGTAGACACCACTCTCCTCGACCATGCCCAGCAGCTTTGTGATTTTGGCGTCGTCCTCGGAGTAGGTATCATCCTGGACCTCAATCGCCAAGCTCTCAAGCTTTTGGTAGCGTGGTGTCATGATCGGGTTTCCGTATTTGGACTCCAGAACAAGGTAGCTTCCAGGGTCGGGTTCTCTATTGAGTAACCTGATCCATTCGATCTCCTCAGGCTGTCCGGGTTCTGCATTGTCGCATTGCAACCATGCCCCTTTAACCTCATCGAAGGGAACGACGTCCTCAACCAATAGAGATCCAGTCGCTGAGATGAGAAGCCCGTACTCCTGCAGCTTCGACACCGGAATGTAGAGAACCACTGGGCGATCACTCAATGCGACCTTACGACCTAGCCAAGGTTTTCCCTTGTAGCCCTGCTCCCAGGCCCATGGCGGAAAACATGTGAAGTGGATAGAATCCCTTCCCGATGCACCGAGACCTCCTGGCACTAGCCCCCGTCGCATGATTGAAGTCAGCGCTCCAAGATTGGTAGCGTGAAATGCAGTCACCATGGATAGGGCCATGTCGTTGGTCATTCTCGATCCAATGTGGTCGATGTTGATGGTAACGTCATAACCTCCACCGTCCGACGAGTGTGCTGAGGTTGCTCTTACAGCCACGGGAAAGCACCATCCATCGCTATTGTGGAGTCTTCCTTTGGAGATTCCCATGCCCTTGAGCTCGTCAATCCATTCCTTCTCCATCGGGTCATCAGGATCATTGAGTTCATCAGGGTGAACGCGGACCGCCAACATTTGGAATCTGATCCTCTTGGTTATGCGGAAACACTCATAGTTCTGGTCGAGGTACTTCTCCAAACGCGCCTTCTTGGTCACGATGTCTATGTTGCCATAGTGATAACCGTCTTCCCAAACAGCGTTATCAGCTAACAGGTCTTCCCATGACACCCATGCGCCTTCATCGCATTTGATTGGTGTGAGTCTTCCTCCTGTTCTGAACTGGCGTCCAATTCGATGTCTCAACTTCGCTCCCAATCGGCGACTCAGGGCCTGG